CTCAAAAGGCCATGCCCCTAACCTCCAACTACCTAAGACACTGTGTTGGTGTCTGCTTCCCCTGGCTGCAGTCTGTCTCCATGTAGGTATTTTCCACCCCCCACTAAATGCAATGTCATGCAGAAGACTCAAAGGGAAAGTAAACGGATTAGTAGATGGATCGATGGCCGATATTAATGCTCTTTCATGTTGGGTTGGAGAAGGATTTGAGGTCATCAGGAGAGAAGGCGGCAGGAGAATAGACTAAGTATTCAAAAGGCTCTCTGGATTAAAATCCTATTAAGTTCCCATCAGCTTCTCCAGGAGGCATTCGAGGAGGTTGGGATTTCTTTAACCTGTCACCATAATTAACCTTCCCCCAAGCTGTTTTGGGTGGGGCACATTAGCAATTAAGAAACGGAGAAACTTTCATTTTCTATCACCCACGCTGCTGTTTGAATGCTTTAGAGACCAGAGTGCAAAGTGGTTTCGCTTAATTGATTTGAGGGGCTCAGGTCTCTCACTTGAACCTGCTGTCAGACTTGCCCCTGAGATCTGAGCCCCTCATTAAAAAGGGCATTTTGTCTGGAGAAAGAATCAAAGGTTCCGATCTACTCCTATGCTTTCTTCCTCTTCTCATTCCTCCAGTGGGGCTGACAGAAACGAGCGACTGTGCAGAGCCATGCTTGCTTCTTTCAAAATCCCTACTTCCGGACCCAGACTCCTCTCCGCAAATCTACCGCTGGAGTCCTGATCCTCGGTCTCTCCCAGCGGGTGTCACCTCAGCATCTGCCATATTCCTAGCAGCTGTTGAGTCACAGATAAGTTCAGTCCAGGTGGGAACAGCCCTATGAGTGAATGACCAGCTGCTCCAAGACATAGGGGTCACAAAGCATTAGTATCACAAAACACATTTCCAATAGTATTAGCTATTTCTTCTTTACTATATAAAATTGCCACCCTCATTTCACCTACAGACACACCTACACACCCATGCATATTTCAAACATGAGCACCCTGCCATTTGAGCAAGGAGGTGAGCAGCCTCCTAGGGCATTAAGTTTACACATCTAGTGCCTAAGAAGCCCAGCAGTGGTTACAGGATACCTCTGTAGCAAAACATCAGGAGTTTTGTTGTTGTTGTTGTTGTTTTGTTTTGTTTTTATTCTTTCTCACTGCTACATCTTGAGAGTTACATAATACAGCGTCTGTCTTCTTAGAGTCACAGTCCATTTTCTTGTCTAACTGAGTGTCTTGTGTCCTTTTGCCAGACTCTGAGCTACCTAAAAACAAGCACTTGACTTTGTTTTTGTTTTTCTCCAGCTCCTAACACAATATCTGACATAGATCACTTGGTACTTAACACACTGTGGCCTGTGACTATACAGACTTTACCCTGCCTTAAAGGCAAGTCACAACCTTTATTTGCACTATGTAAAATTTAGGAGTCAGTAGGGCCACATGACCTCCAAGATCATATTCCCTGTCTTGAACTCTATGAAGAAAGTAATTGTGCAAGCAGGATTGCTGTAACTCTGGTAATTGTGTCTTTTCTTATAACTGATAATACTGGTGAGAATATGGAACATTTATGAAGCCCCTCAGCATCCTCTGCTCTATTTCCAGTGCCTGCTGATATGATGTTACTAGCCCCATAATGCCAGGAACTCTTGTTTCTTCCGCTGGATGCAGCTTGAGATCCTCAACCTCAGCAATTTGTCCAAAGTCACACCAAGTGGGCTAGGTTTTCATCCAAGAAACTGGGCTCTTAATTAATTCTCCACAGCCTCTCCAAGAACCTCCTTTTGGAGTTTATAGCTCAGGCTGCAGCCTTCCAGCTGGCCTACATACATCTTCCTAGCTCTCCAAGTGGCCCCTGCCTGCCTGTCAATTGCTTTGATTTCAGACTCCAGAGCCCAGCTGGCCCAGAGTCCACCTGCTCCAACCAGAGGCAGAGCTTGCCCCAGGACCCAGCAGGCCGTTTCTTTGTCCAGAGGGCCTGAAGTTCCTGTCAGGAGCAGGTGGCCTGAAAAGCAGGAGAGAACAGCTATCAGCCTGGGAAGCAAAATGGAGAAGGCAAAGACGTCTGAATAAGAGGAATTAGAAGGGTCCCTCCCAAGAGACCTGAGCCTATATAACCACTCTGGGCAAAGGGCAAGGCAGAGAGATGGGATTTCTTGTCAAAAGTTCTATCTATGAGACGCAAGGATAGAGAGGACATCTTTAGAGAGTCCTGAAGCTGCCTTTCAGGAGACATTTCTGCTGCCTGCTCTTCGAGGTGCATCTTGTCTTATTTTAAAGAATCTCTGCTTTTTTAGTGAAATTTTTATAAATAACTTTTCATTGGCACGTAAGAACTGTACCGATTCTGTATCAAGCTCAAGGCTCAAGGCTTGATACCCTGAACAAAGAGAGGAAAGAGTGGGTGGAGAATTCAGATGGTAGAATGTAATATTTTCATACACATGTGAATTATATAATGTTCAGATTGGAGTAATCCTACTTATCCCCCTCAAGCATTGATCACTTGGTCAAATGTTTAAAAATGTTTATTCCATTTTTTATTTTAAAGAATAGAGTGCATTATTGTTACCTGGAATCAACCTTTTGTACAGCAAAATACCAGGACTTGTTTCTTGTATCTTCTTAATGCTTAGTATTTGTACCTGTAGACTAATTCAGTGACAGTGTGTTCTTGACCCAAAGCATTTGGTGTTTGGGAAAGCTATTTTATATTCTGAGGTAGAAAAAGAGTTCATTGAAATTAGGTTCATCTCAACAAGCAGATGCTTAGGTGTCTCTCAAACTGCATGAAAACATGTTCACACAAAAACCTATACATGAATGTTTCTAGTATGTTTGTTCATAATAATCCCAAATTGGAGTCAACCAAGATGTCATTAAAATAGTTGAATAGACAACCTGGGGTTATTAAGTTACTACATTGGGAATTGGGATATTATTCAAGAGTAAAAATCAAATGATATATAAAGTCAAACGTGAACAAAGACCATCTAAAATGTTGCTTCTGGAAAAAGCAAACCTACAAGACCGTAAGAGAAAGGAGTTAGGAAGGAGGGGTGAATAGCACAGGCAGTTTTAAGACAACGGTAATATGCTGTATTTCACAGTGTTGGCAGACCCAGAATACCATGCATTGGTTAAAACCAATAAAACTCTACAACGCAAAGCAAGCGTGTTTTGAATGTGATCATTGGGCCTTACTCCCTAGTAATAAATCAACCACTACTGGCCCAATAATTATTTTTAAAAATATGTGCTGTACATGTGTAGATTGGTAACAAGGGGAATACAATAGAGAAAAATTCTCTGTAAATTTTTTTCACTTTTCTCTAAAATTAAAAATGAATTCTATTCAAAATAGTTCATATAAATATACCTTTCATCCTAAAAAAATAAAAACATAAAGCAATTAAACATCTTGCTTGTCCATATTCTTCATAGGCTACCCCTAAGTGTAGCAACCCCATATTGCTGTTGAGTCAGTCCCTACAATATGCTAGACATGATGCAGCATATGTGCTATGATCTTATTTATAAGAAAAGCTCTAGGAAAACACAAAGAAAGGATTTTTTTGTTTTGTTTTGTTTTTTCTAGACAGGGTTTCTCTGTGTAGTCCTGGCTGTCCTGGAACTCACTCTGTAGACCAGGCTGGCCTTGAACTCAGAAATTCACCTGCCTCTGCCTCCCAAGTGCTAAGATTAAAGGCATGTGCCACGACCACCCAGCAAGAAAGGATTTCAAAGTCAGAAACTGAAGGAATGACTTGAACCCAAACTGATCCAGCTCCAAGCCTGTCATACTTACAATTCTTACTGTAAGTGGACGGTGAAACACTGTTTTTTGTTTTTTGTTTTTTTTACAATGTCTATATAGTTGTTCATTCCTCAATGGTTACTATGTACCACATGTTGTGCTACATTTTGTGCATATATATGTGAGTAAAAAAGACAAGCGATCCAGTGGAAGAGCAAGATAAATGATGGAAGATGACAACAAAAGAACAGTAATGAAGGAACTAAGTGATCCTGATCCAGGCTTGACATGTTATAAGAATTTGAGGAAAGCTCTTTGGTTGGGGAAGAGATAACATAACATCTTGTTTATCTTGTTTTCAGTTTACATTTGTCTAGAAACCATACTGAATGTGATGGTTAATTATCAACCACTTGGGAAAGAGTCTCACTGAGGAATTGTCTAGATCAGGTTGGCCTGTGGGCATGTCTTTGGGGGAGAGATTGTTCTGTTTTGGGTTTTTTTGTTTGTTTGTTTGTTTGTTTGTTTGTTTTGAGACAGGGTTTTTCTGTGTAGCCCTGGCTGTCCTGGAACTCACTCTGTAGACCTGGCTGGCCTTGAACTCGGAAATGCACCCGCCTCTGCCTCACAAGTGCTGGTATTAAAGGCATGCACGGCCACCGCCCAGCTGTTCTGGTTATATTAACTGATGTGGAAAAACCCGTCCTAAAAGTGGGCAGCACTATCCCCTAGGTTTAGATCCTGGTTTGTATAAGAGAAGAGAAAGTGAGCTAATCTCTAGGCATGCTTACACTTATTTTCCCTCTGTTCTTGACTGAATACTATGTACCTAATTGCTTCATGCTCCTGTCACCTTAACTTCCCCCACAATGATAGACCATAAACTGGAACAGTGCACTGAAATGAATCTTTTCTCCCCTAAGTTGCTTTTTGTCACAGTATTTCATCTTATCACCAGCAGATGGATCAGAAGTTCAAGAGCAACCTCGGTTACTTAATGAGCTTGAGATAACTATAGGCTATACTATATTTTGTCTTTTAAACATATTCAGTGAGCATAAGAAACAGCTACACTGAGGAAGGAGGAAAGAGATAATTATCATACTTATGATATGCTAGGTTTTTGTCTAGGTCCTTAGCTTAGTTCCTCTCCATTATGTCCATGTTGTTATCCATGCTAATACTAGATGAAGACAGTGTGGTATTGTTTAGGTCACTAGACAAGAGATCTTTAGACTCTCACCTGTGTTCTTTTCCTTGTCTCGAGAAAGCTCATGGACAGTGGCACCAATGTCATTCCTCAGGCTCTTGATGATGCTGCCCAGGACAGGCTTACTACGCTTATCTAGATAGGTGAAAAACTCATACTCATCTTTGTTTAAACGAGAAGGTCTGGATTCAATGTGTGTCAGGTTGATATCATTCTCCTAAAAAAGAAAATTATAGGTGTGAGGGACTGGCATTCCTTATTACCACAGTCCAAATATACAGAGCCAGAATGTAAGACACCAAACCAGAGCTGAAGGGCAGGGTTTAAAAAAATAAAAATGAGTATAAGCAAGCCCTTAAACATTTAGATGCCTTTTTTTTTTTTACCTTCTGCAAAACCAAGTGCCAACTGACAAGAGGTAGGAAGGATGAGTCAAGTGCATCCAAACTTAACCACATGGAAATCTAATAACAGCCTAGAGTTGCCGGTATAAGGCTTCAGTTTGGATCAAATGTCTAAGACAATAGTTATGAAGATATGGCATGGGAAAGTCTCCCTTCTGTCACAGAAGCTCAAAAAATAATATAGACAACATTATTTTGCTTGAATATAATCCCCAGGCAAAACCTCTGCATTCATAAGCTTTAAGTTGTATCATCTATGAAATGCTAGACATTTTATTTTCATGCTTCTGCATCCCTCAGTTTCCCCATCCACACATGGGTGGTCTCATTAGTACCCACACCGTGAGCTCTTTGGGGGTATTGAACAAATTAACACACACACACTCTGATGGGTGCAACATAATATGTAGAACTACTATTAATATCATCATATGTTACATAACTATATAAGATATATTATTTGTATTATATGTGAAAATACATGTACATATACATATATAACCTACATAAATATATATGTAATATTCACTAGATGCTAATCACTCTTTAGAGGAACAAAACATATCTAGATGTTTTTCTTTTTAAAGTTTACATTCAAGTTGAGATAATAAAGACAAGCAGCCATAAAAGACAATTAACTTATGTATCATTTTATAGTGATAGGAGATAAAAATAAGTAAAAGGCAGGACAGATGAAATGGATGAGCTATCATGGGACAGTGTTAAAACAAGTCTGGTATTTAAGAGGATCTGCTCATGAGGCCTCCTTGAAAAATCAAATCATATGCCCATTCTAAAGGAGTTAATAGACATGGAGACCCCATGCATATGGTGGACGGTATTGGCCTAGAATAAGTAATAAAACAACTCTGATAAGTCAGAATAGCCACAAAGATGAAGGACAGTCAGGTAAATTATTTGAAGGAGTTTGGCCTTGATTCTGAAATTCATAGGGGTCTTTATGAAGTTTTGAGCAAACAGACAACCTGATATCACCGTATTAACATGATCAGTCTGTCTTCCATGCTGAGACTAACCCTTGTAGACCTGACAGAACCACCAAGTCCTGCTGAGAAGTCACTTCTGAAATCCCATATGATGGTGGGTGTAACCATGGTGGCTGGTGTGACAATGTCAGGAAGAGTCAATGCTGGTACTTCATGTAATTACCTCAAAGATCAAAACTATAAGAAGCATGAGAGGAGTTTGTAGATAACAAAATGGGGAAGGGATCAGTAGGTACCATTTCATCCCTTGTTTTGAAACACTGTGCAACTGAGTGAGAGTTCAGAATTCCTAAGAAGGAGTGAGCACACACACACACACACACACACACACACACACAAATCTCCCTAGAGTTTCTTCTTTGAATAAAATACTATAGCAAAGCTAGAGAGATGAACAAATACTTCTCATCTGACATTAGCCATACCTACCATAGCTGTGAATCTCAGGGACAAAAACAAGTCATCAAACTTGGCAGAAAATGCCTTTACCCACAGATTCAATCTGCCAGGCAATTATTGTACGAGTTCTCAGCACTTGCTAGAATACGTTATCTGGATGTCCCTTGATTTCTAGTGTTTTAATGACTAGCATGTGAGTTTCCTCATAGGTTTTGCCACTAGAAACAGTGACTGTCATTGTATGCATGCTTGTCCCTGATAACCTAGCTGATTTCCTGCGTTAAATGCCTTGGAGCCTCCATCGTGAACAAGAAAGTATTCACCCCTTAAATTTTCTGTAAGTATATTACCCTACTTCTCTCAAAGGGGCTACATCATCTGTTCTACCCTCCACGAGAGAACCCATATTCTTCACCAGTACCAACTATTAGGATTCCTGATGTTGTTTATTTTCTTAACCTGATATATAAAAATAGTTAATAATTCATTATTGAACCTTTTACTCAATTGCTGATAAGAATAAACATCTTTTCCTGTTATTATTAGCCATTCTTTTCTTTTTTGTGATTCATGACATTTTTCATAATAAAGCTACTTTTCTTGATCAGTAATACTTGTTTATAGGTTGATAGTAATTCTATTGTGTGTTATTCTTTTCATGATAATACTATCCTTGTCTATTTTTAAATATCTTCACATAAACAATTTTTAAGCAGTCTCAAAGGATGTGGAGAAACAGGAAATGAGAACAATTAGTTTTGAGGGAATACTCCTAGAAGTGCATTCTCAGATCAAGGAAATTTGTTCCATTTTGCTGCCTGAGTACCAGATATTCCTTTGTCTGCATCTAAAGGGCTCCTAAGCCAAGTTCCATGGGCTTCTCTGCTTTCTTGTGACATCTTAAGGGTCAGGTGAAGGATCACCAGAACATGAACACTGACAAGGGCAGAGATCTCATTTTTCCAAATTTATTCCCTACAATAGTACTGATTTCAAAAGAGGCAGAGCTCAAAGGTCTCACTTACTCCTGGATTGTCTTTTGGAGAAATGAAAAGTGTCTTGGTTATTGATCTATTTCTAATATTGACAAGTCTTTCAAAATCTAGGCATTTTAAATTGATCCAGAAGCAGAAATTGACTAAAAATCAAATGTTGAACTATGTGAAATCTGACAAAACACACTGAACTCTAATATAAAGAAGTCAGCTTGAATCATTGTGCAGTTTCCCAGAGAAGCTTGCCTCTAATCAAAACACCTGTTTCACATTCACATAAAGACCTGTGACCTGCTTTATAAATGTCATAAAATCATGAACGCATGGGCTACTTACTGTAGATTCTCCTCAACTTCAACGTTTTTAGATGGTGATAGTTTAGCTCACGTAACTCTTAACACACTGTGGTGGTTTGCATAAGAACAGCCTCACAAACTCATATATTTGAATGTTTAGTCATCAGGGAATGGAGCTGTTTGAAAGGATTCGAAGGATTACATGAGGACTTGTTGGAGTGGGTGTGGCTTTGTTGGAAGAAATATGCCACAGGACATAGGCTTTGATGTTTCAAAAGCCCACATCAGGCCCAGGTTCTCCCTTGGGCCTTCATTTAATAATGTAGTTCTCAGTTACTGCTCCAGCACATGTGACCATGTTCCCTGCCATGAGAATATTAGACTAAACCTCTGAAACTTTATGCAAGCTTCTAACTAAATGCTTCCTTTTATAAGAGTTGAATTAGTCATGGTGTCTCTTCACATCAAATAACAGTGACTAAAACACACACACATACAGCTGCACACAGAATCACTTACACGGGCTCTTGAATAGTAAAAATGCTTCTAAATTATACGCTGTTCACTAAGACTGATTCCACCAGTCCAGTTTTGCTCGTGTTCATTAAGTAGAAAACCAGGACACATCATGTATTCATAACTAAACAAATACTAACACTCAAATGGACAAGACTTTCCCTGCAGATGCAGTAACGTGAATAGTTCTAAAACTTAAAATGAAATTCACCCTTTTTGTGGTTGAAGCAGTGTGTGCCCAGTTATAAATGATGTGATGCTGAGGAGAACAAATGTCACTACACTGGTGACAGTGTCCCTTCTCAAATACCACCTATAATGGTCGTTTATAGGCCCTTCTCTTTGGTCTTTGAGGAAATTAAGGAAGAGAAACAATAAAATCACAGGTGAAAAAGCTCTGCTGTGAAGAACAGAGGAAGAAAGTATATTTTTTTTACTGGCAAAGTCATTGTTCTTTTGTAAACAGTGCTTTCTATTCCAGGAATACAATAAGTTCTCTTAAAATGTTGATTTTTTTCATTATCATTAATATGACATCAAACACAAAAGAATCAGAATCTTGGGGTACAAGGACAGAATAAGAAACCTGACACAGGCTATCTTCCTGCAGATTCTTCTCTGTGACCTTTGAGGCTGCAGGATGTTACCAGTGGTCACAGTTTCCCTTAAATGACTCTCAATATCTCTCTCTCTCTCTCTCTCTCTCTCTCTCTCTCTCT